AGTTTACACAGAAGTGGGTCATCGTTAAGTGTGGAATACATGTATAGCATATTTCCTGATATATACAGATACGGATGCTGAGTTTTTATAATAGGGCATAATTGCAACTTTTATACAAATAAGTATTTAAACATAAAATGCATGCACACCAAAAACGCACGCACACAAATTTCCAATTTTGTCTTGAAGCCACTCTTTTAAATTTGATTTAAGTACACATAACTTATAAAGTAGGTCATTGATTTACCATAGAATAGCAAACTTCCTCTTACCCAGAATGCATAGTTAGTTTATAAGGTAATCAAGAAGCCTTAATTAATTGCAAATATTTTAAAATGGAAATTCTGAGGAATGGTGCAATAAATCATGATTGCAGAAAAAAAGCTTTTAGTTTTGTATATAAATTATCTGTTTTAAAGTTGATAATGCTTCATTAATGTGAAATTTACTTTTAAAGTGGAATTTATTGTTTGCTGTGAAAGATATATATTTATCTGCTTTTAATTTTCCCATTCATTTTAATATACCCTGTGTAAGGGAAATTTCAGCAGTTGCAATCTGTAAATTACTTTAAAGAGGCTGTGTAGTAAGTAGTTTACTTTATCTGCTTCATTTCTATTTATTTTAAAGCAGCACACCTCCATGTTTTTATTTATTTTAATGAAAATTGTGAATTTAACCAAGAAAGTAAAATTATTACTTAAATTTTTAATCTTTTCACTTTTCTTGAAATCTCTGTACGTTTTTTACAACTTTGGATTTTCTTCAAATAAATTTTCGCACATAACATAAAATTATTACTTAAATTTAGAATCTTTTCACTTTTCTTAAAATCTCTATGTTTTTCTCAACTTTCGATTTTCTTCAAATAATTTTGCTCATCTGGAGGCATGCAGCTTTAATGTTTACTGTGTTTCAAAGCTATAAATCAATTCAGAGACTGAACTGAAAGTTGTTAAGTTAAGTAAGCTAAATCATAGATCTTGTCAGTAACAAGTGTCTGAAATCTTAATCAGTTTCCAGTCTGATTGTAATCTGCTGTATTTATCAATGTAGTCTGTAATTACAAAGATCTGGTCTAAATCACAACCTGACTTGGTAAAGATGAAATATTGTTGTCATCATCATTATCACTGACTCTTCAATACAAGGATCTGGTCTTATTCAGGAACTATGTAAGATGAAATATTGTTGTCATCATCAACATCTTTCTTCCATTAAAACAAGGGTTCGGTCTAAATCAAGAACTGGTATATAATGATTTTTCGCTATCATCATCATCATCACCATCAACATCATCACTGACTCTTTAATACAAGGATCAAATCTAAATGACAACTTGACTGGTAAAATAAAATATTACTATCGTCTTCATTTGCCTCTTCAAAACAAAGGATTCGGTCTAAATCAAGAACTGACTAGGTAAATAAAATATTGTTATCTTCTTCATTGGCCTCTTCAGAACAAAGGTTTGGTCTAAATCAAGAACTGACTAGGAAAAATAATATATTGTTATCATCACTCATACTCTTCAACACAGTAATAAAACTGTGCTTAACAAGTTTTAGTTCTTTCCAAATGTATGAAAGTCCATGAATTTTATTGTGACTTTATCGTTTTTGATTCATTATCAGTTATAAAACTAAAGTAAGCTTGCAATTGGTGAAGAAATAAAAAAGAAATAGATAAAATCATGGCAAACTGGAAAAGAATGCAGAATGAGTGTTGTTCACTGGATATAAATATGTAGATTGTTTAGAAAACTGGCATCAGTTGAATGTATACACAAGAAGAGGATGGTTCATAATAAACTCTGGCTGTTCACCAAGTTTTCAGTACAAAAGTTCTGTTTTCTTTTAATATGTGAATATCTAAAGATAACTGTAAATATTTCTGGAATGATATTACTTCATTTAATGTGGAAATAATGATTATCAATGCGAATATTGAATTTTGCAGACGGTTCATTTTGATTATTCAATTGCAAAGTTAATATAATACCCGTCAACCTCTGTGGCAGAGTAGTTTAGGTCGCTGACTAATACAACAACTTGCCACATCACCATTATGGGTTCAAATCCCATCTTGAAATATAAATAGCCCAAGTCATAATGCATGTTTGTACAAATTAAATATCACAGCCAGTTGGTCGACTTGGCTTATTAGGTAGAGCAAATGATTTTATTATTGAGGGGTCATTTGTTTGATCCTTAGGCAAGAAAAGATTGATCATCATATTATGGTCATTTGATTCCCACTGCTGATTCAAAAATAATTTGGGATAAGAAGTCGGCCAGTAGATAAGTACTGGTTTAAGTATTCAAAGCCCGTTAGGTGGGCAGACCTCCAAGATATGACCAGATAATATGTTGAAATCATCATAAAAACCATAATTGGGTCTGAGGTTACGAAGAAATTCCCTAAGCTAAGACTTAGAATCTTAGGTATTTGATTGGTCAGAAACTGCTAGAGAATGTACACTGACCAATGAAAATTCTGAGATTTGAGACGGAACTCGGACAAACTTTTTATAACCTATTTATGAGGCAAACAATACTATGATAGCTAGAGCTAAGGGAATTATAGGAAGAAATAAAAGTAAATGATAATTGAAAGTATAATGATTAACTTCTAACTTTAAACTCATAAATCTCTGTCAGTCGATATCTTTGGGAGTTTTCCTTTGAACATCAACTTTAACAACAGGTAGAAACTTTTTAAAAAGAATGATTAAGAAATAAATTCATGTTGAAAATAAGATATTTTCGTGAAGGTTTGATTGGTGTAAATTGTGGTTGTTTTTATTTGAGCCGCGTCACGACAAAACCAACATAATGGGTTTGTGACTAGCATGGATCCAGACCAGCCTGCGCATCCGCGCAGTCTGATCAGGATCCATGCTGTTCGCTTACCAACTCTTTAACAAGTAGAGAAACTGATAGCGAACAGCATGGATCCTGATCAGACTGCGGGGATGCGCAGGCTGGTCTGGATCCATGCTGGTCGCAAACCCATTATGTTGGTTTTGTTGTGACGCGGCTCATTTCTTTTTATCATGCTGTTTTTGTATAGGCTTAATTGGTATACAAAAACAACAACAAAAACTGGGGAATTCTTTTTTTTTTTAAATTCATGCATATAATATTATGTATCATCATCACCTTAGTGCAATAACAGGTTACCTCTTAATATAATTCATAAGCAGTTAACCTGTTTCTGCACTGAGATGACATGAAGTTATGTATTTCCTGTTTCTTGTTTTTTTTCAAGGAAACTCCTGTTTTATTTCTAATGTTGTTGATACGTACATATGGTATATATGTAAATAAGAACAGAATGAATAATTTCTGTTGTAGCCAATAAGTAAATAGCATATTCTGGTACAGATTTAATTATTCAAAGTGATTGTTCGTGTAAATTGTTCAATGTCAGTTGTTATAGCGATTAAGAATAATTGTATACATTTATTAATGAAGTGGTGTTTTTATTGAATATTTAGTACAAACTACTTAAATACATGGGTAATAATGAACTTACATATCTATGAGTCTTTTGTGGCTATATTTTAAATATAACTTGATGGTATTAATGGTATTAATATAAACAAAGTTATGGTGGCAATATCTTAAATGTTTATATATATTATTATGCCTACATATATGTCATCAGAATATAGTCACTTAATCTTTGCATACTCATGCAGTTTATTTAGACTATGTACTGTTGGTAGTCAAAATAATTTGACACAATGTACAGGTTCTGAGATAATTTTGTCTATAGAGGAGTGGCGGAGATATTTTCCATATGTAAATAATTTTGTCTATAGAGGCGAAGATATTGTCAACTTATAAAATAACACATTATTTGGATTTTGAGAACAAAATTATTGTTAAGTTGCTTTGATTTAATAAACAATGCATTTCAAATTCAAAGTATGATTATTAGTTTATTGATCTTTTTTTTTAATAATCTGAATTAACTAATTATAATAAAAAGGCTTTGAACTTTTGTAATCTGTTTTGTTTATTTGGGGTTTGTTATTAAAATTTTTGGGAGGTGAAAATTTTCGGATTAAATTGGTTGTTTAAAAACTCCCTTAATTGTTTTTTTCAAAAACGTGGGTGTGTTTTTTTTCCTGGCATTTTGTTTTTTGGGCAGAAAGCAGATTTTTAAAAAAAAGGGACACTTGGTGTTTTTAAGTTAAAAATTTTAAATCGGTTTGGTGAAAATTTTTGAAATTTTTTATGTACTTGAATTTTGAAATAATCGAAAAGGTTTTTACAGTGAGTGTTTAGATAGATTTGATAAACTTTGAATATTGTATTTGTTCTTTCTGTCAAATTTTTTTATATTGAAGTTCATTATACAAATTGACTAGAGTTTCCAAATGATTTTTATGTTGAACAGTTATTTTCCCAGTTATAATCTGATAATGATTTGACATGTAGAGTAGTCTCTCTTTTGAATGTTTGTCTGTTGTTGTGAATGCATGTTTGACATTGTTTGCGTTAAATTGCATGTTTGAAAAAAAAAGGATATCTGCATAATACAATCATGTTACTGTGTTTTATTTCTTACGATTGGGAGACAAACGGACACATTCCAAATCACTATAAATAAATGAAATTTAAGTATTCCTATTTCATTTTTCCCCCACATTAGGCGATTTTAAGGTCTCAATAGAAATTCCCAATTTTGATGCATTAACGGAAGGGGAAAAACACATATGGCATATTTCATGCCACTTTAAGACAAAGTTGGATAGGGGCATTTTCATAAAGTAAAATGACTATACACTATATGTTATACATGTACTATTTATTCTTTTAGATGAAAGTCCACCAAGGTTCGACAGGCAAATTAATGCCAAAAAAATGTCTATAAATTAATTAAAATATACAATATAATCAACCCTTTCACAACTATTTCACTAGAAAAAATACACATTTCACTTGAGCTTTTGATACAAAAATGAAGATATTTTTGTTATTTTATTACAGCCAGTGGATGATGACGATGATGATGCCACTTCAGAGAAACATGTTGTCATAGAGAAGGTCCAACCTGAGAAACCAAAACCCAGTCATGTAAGTTTATAAAATTTCCTTTTTTAGCTAAACTATTCCAAAAATAAGGATTATGTTACTAAGCATGATGGGCACTGAGAATAGTCAAGCGCAGTGCATCCTCGGAACAGCTCTTGTTTCATGGTTTGTCTAGTGTTATATTTGAAGAAGCATCTATATGTACATTCAAGTGCAGACAACTCAGTCAGGGATTCATATCTTTGACTCAATGGTCTCAGGGTGTTAAGTTTAATTTTTGAGACATGGACCATGACTTGGAATCACTCACTCTGACCTTGATTTATTCCACATGTACCTTTGTGTTACCAGATTATTTGTAATAATAATGATAATAATGATAAAATCTTTATTTAGAGAAGGTAACATACAAAGTTTACACAATAAGAGAACATGTATACTTATTTTCAGTACAACATTCTGATTTAATAATAACAAAGAGAGAAAAATATACTTATAAGGTCAATACAAATTTTGAAATCTTTTCCTACAAACAAAAACAGCAAATGTATTCTTTTATTGTTTTTTGTTTTTTAAAAAATTTTTTATTTTTTAAATTACCAAAATTTTTTTTTATAAAAATTTAAATTTTTCCCAAACAATAAAAAAATATGTAGAATTAAAAAAATTTTATTGGCTAAATATTTGTCTCCGAATGTATAAAAAAAAAAGAAAAGCAATAGACAGAATTTTTGTGAAGAATCAAACAATGATGTGCATAATTTTGTCATTATTATGCTGTATATCACAGGAAAAAATGAAGATGGATGACACGCAGGAATGGCACGAGGACCCGATACCTGGCATGGGTGTGACGGCACACGATTCATCTACGGACGAGTCTGACACTGAGAGTGACAGTGAATACACCAAACCTGGTATGTTTGTGTGTTTGTTTATATGTTATCTGGGCCAACAAAATCCGGTTTTGACATACTTATGTCCCTTTTGTTTGCCTGTCTGTTTGATATTTTAAGAGTAACGGTACTGGTAAATTCTAGAAAAAATTTTACTTGTCCATACGGGCTGTGGGACAACATGAACAATATGGACAATCAATTTTGTCACCCCAGGTTATATTATGTCAGTTTATATCCTAAGTTAAAAAGATTTTTGACAGGTAATATAGCTTTTATTTTAATGGTAGTTTTCACATATAAGCCTAGGCACTAGGTGAGGGTAATATTGCTAACAACCTTTTATATACTGCCATATAACCTGTCAAGAATCTTTATAACTAATCTTTAAGACAGCAAAATTCCTTTTTAGAGGGTAAATATGAGATATTTCTTCATAAATTGACAGCAGCTGTGTATATAAAACTATATAAACATCACTATTAGCCAATGAAAAGCAACATGACATGCAGTATAATAAGATAAGATATTAAGATTTTCGACAGGTTATATAGCCCTATATAAACATTTATATATAACCTGAGCTTCTAGGAGAGGGTTATATTGAAAATATAACATATAACCTGTCAAAAATCTATTTTTAAACTTCTTTTATTGGAGGAATAAAGAAATAACTTCATGAATTGACAGTAGTTTATGTACATCACAATTATCCACAAAAAGGCATTTTTCAAACATGCAGTATTATAACATAAAGTATATACAGTATTTTTGTTTTATTTTTTGGTCGACATTTTATATGACCAATTATGAAATTCTGGTAAGGTTATATAACCCAATTCACTAGGTGATGGTTATATAGCAGACAACCATTTATCACAGCCATATAACCAGTCAATATAGTATGAATAGCATATTTTTGTAATAATACTGCTGAATTCCTTTCCTCTGATTTAAAATTTAAATTACACTGTATATTATAAAGTTGCAGCTGCTGCCTGGTGTATATAGATATACTTTATGTAGATGATATAAACTTCACACGATTGTCCAAAGAAAATCAATGTTGCAAACATGCAATGTGTATAATAAATAAATTATATATAAAATAAACTTTATCCTACATATTGCATGTTTTGCAACATTGATTTTATATTTTATTGTTTAACACTGGTAACCCATCTGGAAGACTTTTCTAAAAGATCATAGCTGGTAGTGCTGTCTGTCTGTTTAAAGGAGGGAGCAAAACAACCAATGATCTGACCTGACCACCGGTGCTTTGATGAGCAAGAGTATAGCTCAAACATTACCATTGTTTTAAGTTTTATTTGAAAGACTGTCAAGACAAGATAAGATAAGAGAATTACTAATATAATAGTAACATTTCATGTTTATATAACCTATATGATTATATTCATTAGAATTACCCAGCCCCATAGGCTTATAAGTAAAAAGAACTGTATGCATAGTGAAAGACTATTAAGATATCATATGATAAGAAATTTACTTGTAATAGTTACATGTAGATGCATCTTTGAAATAACAAAACCCTTTATAATAATATTCATTAGGATTACCCAGCCCAAAAGGCCTATAAGTAACAAGAACTATATTCATTGTATAAAGCATCATACTTTCTGATAACTTTTTGCAAGTTGCTAAGTTTGCAGACTTCAAATCACTTGCCCCTTACCCCTGTTGGTTTGAATCCTTCCAGGGACCTTGGATTCTTTCATGTGATGTAGCTATCCAGCTTGTATACAGAATGTTTAAGTGGCTCTATTGTGTTCTGATTAAAAACGGAAACAGTAATGACAACTGTTAAAACAAAAAATGTAAAATTAAAAATGAACAGCATAACTCTGTTTATCCAGCCATTGATTTTCAAGTAAATCTTCATCAGACTTCCTGGTTCATAGGCTTTGCCTGCTTTCATTGGCCACATTGGTGAGCGGCGGGGTCTGTTATGGAATCCTTCTTTTTTTTTGCCCATAGAAGGAGCCGTTATTATTGGCAGTTAATGTTATGTTATGTTAATTATATTAGTCTATGATTATATTCAGTATATATTTCATTGATATCTGATTATTGATACTATAAATAGCACACAAACAGTATAAGAAAAGGTCACATCAAGACATTTCTGATAAAGTTATTATTTCATATTCACAATTCAAGGATATGTAATCAGTCAGCCAGCTCTCAGGGAAACAATGCTTGCAAATCCCTTAAGTATATGCCAGCCACTCCAATATCAAAATGATATTTCTCCTTGAGGTGTTCCATCCATTAATTGTTTGTATTAATTCATCTAAAACTCATCACTTTATGTTTGTTTGTTTTTGTTTGTTTCATTTTACGCCTTTTTCCAACAGTATTTCAGTCATATAGGCGGGTAGTTTCCTAACCATCGTTCCTGGAGAGTTACACCAGTACTAGACTACCTTCCTCCGCGCTTTATAATATACCAGACATTTATATATTGTAAGCATTCAGCTGACAAGATTATTCTTCTGCTCCTAGTCGTTTTGACGCTTATTAAATTTATATGAGATATGAAAATTTTTGAAGAATGTGTATTTTTCAAAAGATTTTAATGGAAATACCACCTTAAAAAGGTGTATCAGGTGTCCTATGGATAGGAAAATATCAAGCTTGGAACAGACTGTATTACTACTGTTGCAAAACCCGTAGCCTGCGGGCGGCAACAGATTCTGACCATGTGACCAGTGTAGGCCACGATCATCAGTCACAAGTAATCCAAGAGCATGTAAAGTTTAAATAGATTTTATTATGTACGTTTTCAAACTGCTTTAATTTATGTCTGCTACATGTTACTGTAGCATATAACTCTTGTGCACTCAAAAATACGTCTATTTCACTCATTCTATGTACAAAAACATGACACAATGAGGTGTCAAACATGAATAAAAATGATACAAATTTAACAGTGTATTAATATTGTTGAAGCATTTTCTGTACAATTGGTGTTTGTGGTGGGGTGTTGAAGATAGTTGACCTTGACCTTGAATTGCTTCATAACTGTAGGTTCTAATCCCACTCTGGCTTTAGATGGTTACAAAATTTTAGTTTTTTTGCGTTTTTCTCTTCAGCTCGACCAGACAGTCTCCTTAACGGTGCAAGACGGAAAAAGAAGATTGCCGCCAACAACTTCCTCTCTCCAGATTCCACTGACGACCTTGTTGAAGGTGTCGATGACATTCCCACACCAGACGACCTTGAAACCCCTAGTGATATAGAAGGCGAGCTGGAATGGGAAGGTATTCTTCTTGACTGTTTGTTATTATCTCCTTTGTATGATAATATTTTACAACAAAATGCCAAAAGTAATTACCAAAACAGGGCCAATATCTCTCCTTGACTGTACACAGCAATGTTTTGTTGTTTTTTTATCTCTCTTGTACAATAAAATGCCAAAATGATCACTAAAATAGGTCAAGGTTATTGCATTGTTGAGTTGTAGCATTTTATTATTATCTCCCTTGAAGTTATGAATTTTTCAACAAAATAACAAAATAATTCATTGGAATTTTGAAACACATTAGCAGTTTGTTATTATTTCCTTTGAACTATTAGATTTTTATCAATATTTATCTCCATTTGTCTTTTAGATTATTTAACAAAGTGAGAGAAATAGTACAAAAATGGGTCAAGGTCACTTTAATAATGGTCATGCTAAATATATACCAAACAAAATTTTCTTTTATTCTTAAAACTTATGATATATGAACATCTGAAAATGAACACTTTTCTGCACAGTTTGGAAATATAATAATTTTATATCTGGAAAAGTTTTATTGCCAACTGTAAAAGGTCGCAGCAGCGATTATGCATATATCATATCAGATAAAAGAAAATGCTTCCTAAATATTTGACATAACTTCCGCTCATTTGTAAAAAATAAAAATGATGGTGGAGAAATACCACTGCATAAATTTTAGCCAAAGATACAGAAGAAAATAAATCATGCACAAGGGATGATCTAGAAATATCCGGAATTAAGTCATAAATTCAATATTTATCAAAAGTTCATATAGCAAACACAATATTAACAATAGTAATATACATGTATCTTCTTAACGTTGAAACAATAATTCATAATATCCTCTTTACATTGAAACAAGAATTCATAATTTTTACCATGGTAAAAAAGTTCAGCTGACTCACTGTTGTATATTTCTTTGGCAAAAATAGGAGGAAAATAAATTGCTTACTCTATTGCTTCTATTTCTATTTCTTGAAAAGTGGGAGAAAAAAATATATAACCATTAACATAGCAAATAAATATCTTTTTTTTTACACCTGTATGGGGTGATTGGATGTTCAAGTTTAATTACTCTTGTTTGATATATTTGTATGTGAAACGTTCTACCTGTATATTACAATAATCATTGTATCATTGAATAATTGAGCCGCGCCATGACAAAACCAACATAGTGCTTTTGCGACCAGCATGGATCCAGACCAGCCTGCGCATCCGCACAGTCTGATCAGGATCCATGCTGTTTGCTTACAAACCCTAACTGATAGCTCACAGCATGGATCCTGATAGAGGCTGGTCTGGATCCATGCTGGTTACAAATGCACTATGTTGGTTTGTTCTGGCGCGGCTCAATTATAATGTTTATTTTTTTTTTGTCATCAGCAGCTGGGCCAGGTAATCCTCTTGGAGAAATAATTTACCGTAACATCTCTAATAAACACCCCCCTCCTGGTAGCTTCTTACCATCACAGTTGTAATAAATGCCCCAGAAATCTTAAACCATGATTACGGCATTTATAAAATTGTATGAGAAGTTTTTATACATATGACACACAAAATGGCTCCTGACGAACTTTGAGTATTATAAGCATTTATGCAAATATGGGAAGATTTATGCAAGTTTAGTAGGCATTTATAAGTATTGGTATTTATGCAAGTTTAGGCACTGTAAGAATAAGCATTTATGCAAGCTAAGGTATTTGATGAGTGTCTGCATTTTTGCAAGATTTATACCAGTTATTACATTTATGCAAAAAATTATACAAGTTGAGGCATTTTTGTAAAATTTAGACAGGGACAAACATTTACGCAATGTTTTACTATTGCAATATTATTGTCATGAATACAACTTCATGTAAAGATCATATTTAGTGTTTTACACAATACTTTCTTAATGGTTTTAAAGTTAGGACAGTGTTATAGAAAAAAAATTGGTATAGGGGTGTGTTAATTAGAGATGTTACGGTAAATACTTAATATATTCACAAGAAAAAACATAACTTGGAGATGGGGTAGTATATAGCACCATAATGCCATACATATATCAATATATCACCAGTTGGTTTTTGGGAAATAATTCCTCAATAACTATGTTACCTTTCACTGCAAACAATTCCCATTGTCCTACCACTCACCAACCACTTTTCAGAAATGTAGTTCATTTTAACCATTAACTTGCAGAATTGGTATTATGGCTTTGCCTAGGTTTGAGTTTGGAACAGTCCATTCAAAGTTCAGAGGATTTGTTCAAAAAGCATTAAGTTGCTTTCAGTCTTTTTTGCATTGATTGTAAAGGTCATGTATGTAAATAATATGTTCTTGTATGTGACAAAAGAAATATGGTTAAACCAAGGTATTTCTGTATTGATCCTGGTCAGACTGCATGGAAATGCAGGCTTGCCTCTCTCTATACTTTAGGTAAAGGGTAATCACTTTCAGTTCTACCAGGTTAGAAAAAAAAACATTTGTGAACAAAGCCATCCAAAAGACTAAAATATAGTTATATGATTTAATTTACAAGCCATTACTGTTCTCTTCCATTTGAAGTGGGGAGATGAACCCTTAATGGGGAGATGATCACTCTTTGCTTAGAAATGGGCAAGTGGCCCCCTTAAGCTAAGAAATGAGCAGATGGTCCCCTTGCTTAAAATGGGCAGATGGTCCCCTTGCTTAGAAATGGGCAGATGGTCCCCTTGCTTAAAATGGGCAAATGGTCCCCTTGATTAGAAATGGGCAGATGGTCCCCTTGCTTAGAAATAGGCAGATGGTTCCCCCTTTGGTTTAAAAATTTGGGTAAAAGGATCCCCTTGCTCAAAAAAAAGGGGGGCCATTCCCCTTGCTTAGAAATGGGGCAGCGGGAAACCCCTTTGTTTTGGGAAATTTGGGGGGAGATGATCCTCCTACCCTTAAAAAAAACGGCAGAGGTTTCTCTCTTGAAAGTAAAATGTAGCTACCCTTGCATAGAAATAGGCAGATGGGCCTTTTTGTTTAGAAAAGGGAACATTAATTGTCCATGCTCAGAAAAAAGGGTAATGGCTTTACTTGCTTGCAAGTAAGCAGCAGTAATTATTCATCATTAACCATTATTCATGGTAATGGTGCATAGATTAGGAGAAATACATCATTATGCGTAATATTTATGACTAAACAAATTCTTGATACTATTTACCTCCTTGTTTTATTATAAATCAATTGTGTTTCTCATTTACTGTCACAAATCATAACGTCAAGATTCTATTATCTTGATTTTGTGCTGGGTTTTGCTGTATACATTATCCTCTTGGATAAAGACCGATGTATTGAATTATTAGGTAAACCTTATATTGTTTATTGTATAATGATTTGTCTACAAATATATAGAATCTGATAGTTCCCTATTTTTACAATATTTACCTCCCTTGTCAAAAGTGACAGCCATATTGGATGTCAATATTTTGAGTAATATAATTTACAAAATATGAAAAATCAATATAAACAACTGATTTATGTGAATTTTCAAAATATTTTATATAAATGAAAGGATATATTATTATAGCACCAATTTTTGTAAAAGATAAAAAAGTGTTTTGCTTTTATCAAATAAAGGAAAAACTGAGTCATGAATTGTATATCACAAATTATATCCATATTGCACTTCCTCTTTCACAATTTTAAGGAAAATAATGCTTAAAACTTCTTAACTTTCAAAAAAAAATCATCACAAATAGGAAAACTTGGACCTCTTCACAAAGTTAGAAAAAAAATTACTCTGAGAGTGATAAATACAAGTCCAAGGTTTCTTTTATTATGACTCCTTATTTTACACCCTGCTAATTCTTTACCTTAGCATCAACAAGGAGGTTTAAAACCAGGAGAGAGTTTCGTAAAAGCTTTTAGTTTTCTGCAATTTATGTATTGAAATTTTGTTAGAAGATATGGAAGAAGAAATAAATAATTTAATATAATTATTATTAATAATTGGTTAAACCAAACCAGTAGACATTGTATTACTGTATAATAACACTTGAGCTATAAAAATTTTTAGGGTGTCCAATTATTGGTATCTGAGAGTTTAATAAAAAAAAAGAAAGATATAAAGGAAATAAAACTGATAAAAGATTAAAGAGAATTGTAATATATTTCTTAACATCTTTTTTTTCTGCAGACGACACACCAATCACCCCTACGTCAGATACCAAGAAGTTTGTAGAATATCGTGATGACGAGGCGGAGAGAGAGAAGTATGAGAATACGAAATTCCGTAAAGTAGAAATAGCGGGCAAAGATTATCGTGTAGATATGAAGGTCATTGAACCATACAAGAAAGTCCTGTCACACGGAGGTATGTTAAATTATATAATTAAGATATGAGCCGCGTCACGACAAAACCAACATAGTGCGTTTGCGACCAGCATGGATCCAGACCAGCCTGAGCATCCGCAAAGTCTGATCAGGATCCATACTGTTCGCTATCAGTTTCTTTACTTGTAATAGGGTTGGTTAGCGAACAGCATGGATCCTGATCAGACTGCGTGAATGCGTAGGCTGGTCTGGATCCATGCTGGTCGCAAACGCACTTTGTTGGTTTTGTTGTGACGTGGTTCAATTAAGATATCATGTCTAATATTTGTACAGTCTAATTAAAACACACCTACATGTAAAAAATAAGTAAAGCCGAACTTTAGTCAAATTGTATTGGTACATAGTAGCCAAAGTTAAGTCAATAGGTTGTGATATACATCTTCATCAATTGTGGCCGAACACTTCCATTTTGAATAATGTCATCGGTTTTGAATTCTTTTAAGTCAGCTAAATCCCCCTTAAAATATCTTTTTACTATCGAACTACCCTCTTTTTAAGAGGCGACCCTGGACCTTTTATATGCCTTTCAGCTGGTTTCAAAATCTGTCCTTAAGATAACCGTATAAAAATGCATAAATTAATATATAAATACTTACCTACCTACTCTCTATTATTGGCGGCCAAGACCAGAAATAGATTTATATATGCTATTTTGTTTGACCTGACTTGTGTACTGGTTGACACTCTAAGTTAAAGCTGGAAAATGTTGAAATGGCTTATGATCCTAAAAAAATTTCAACAATTAAATATTGGAATAAATGACACAGTCACAGTCAAATGGATATCGAGTCTAATGTTTATTTGTCTCTAACATTTGTTCAGAAATCATTTCGGATAAGTTGTTGGTCACTCGCAGAAAATTTGGTCAGTTAGCAAGTAAAGTCGATTAGGTGGACCTACTGCTAAGTTATGCCCAAAAATGTGTAAAAATCTGCATTAAAACCAAACATACAAATGTATATTGGAAGTTTCTTGCAGTATGTTGTACCATTGAATGATTATTGCAACAAAGGGTAATGATTTATTTGCAAATTTTGTAACAAATTTAATAATGATTTATTACATTTTCAGGTTACTATGGCGATGGTCTCAATGCAATTATTTTATTTTGTGGTTGTTATTTACCTGACCGAGGGAGGCGGGACTACCAGTATGTGATGGACAATCTATTCCTGTAAGTTATTACATTTTCCTGTTCTTAAATCATCATCTCTTCGATATAGAAAAAACATCAAAGCGCTGAAAGCACTGGAAACCTTAAACTAAACTTTGTCCATGAAAATATGCACAAAGGGGCACTTGAGGTCTTCCTCCATTTGGTAAAGCTGTGAAGTTGCCATGTGACCTTTACTGTGTTGGTGCAACATAAAACTAAACCCAAAAAGGAAAAAAATGGTGTTTAGATAAGTTTGTTTAAACTTTACATTGTGCCTGAAATAGTGAATAATGCAAGGAGGGACAATTGAGGTCATTCTCCACCAGTAAAACTGGAAAGTCCCCATATGACATTATCTGTGTTGGTGCAAAAACTCAACCTTTAAACAAGGGGTGGTTAAGGTTGTTGAATTAAACCACTTGCCCCTTGGAATCACGACAGGGACTTTGGATTCTTTCAAGTGAGGAAGCTATCCAGCTAGCTTACGGAACGTCGGTGGTTCTACTCAGGTGCCCGTTCGAGCCTGAAATAATGCACGGACGGGCACCTGAGGTCTTCCTCCACCAGTAAAGCTGGAACGTCGTGATATGACCTATACTGTGTCGATGTGACGTAAAACCCAAACAAACAAACAACATTAAAACAAAACTAAAAAAAAGAATGAAAATGAAATGCTGTAAACCTGTGTATTTGTTAAATTACAATTTTATTGTATGTACAAATTTTCTCATTGAGATGTTATGCTTACTGGCAGTGCAGTAACTTGTGAGTAAGATATAAAGTATTAAACATATAACATATTTTCAGATATGTGATAAGTACATTAGAACTGTTAGTAGCAGAAGATTACATGATTGTATATTTCCATGGGGCCACGCCTAGAAGACAAATGCCAAGTTTTGGTTGGTTAAAAAGATGTTATCAGATGATTGACAGGAGGTTAGTATTGTTTTAACTAATCAAATTTCTATATAAATAGGTCAAAGGTCAACAGGGTCAAATATATTGCGCCAGCCCGCATAGCTCAAGTGGAAGATAATTTACTGATTTGTTTACATTTTGAGACAAAATATTTCACATAATCACATTCAAGGCTGTTTTCTTCATGTGATACATGCTCTAAATCTGTTATGAAGATACTATAAAACACACAGGGTTTCGTGCGTTCTTACATTCATGGTTTGTCTGTTAATGCAAAAGTAGAAAAATGCAAATAATGTAATATAAATATAAATAATCATACAGCAAATATAAAATTTTGTTGAATAGTGAAATTCACTGATTGACTACTACAAAAAACACAAAAATGAGAGCCTCATGAATAATAATAATTTTGCAGTATGCGTTTAATTTTAGAAAAGCCAGTATTTACTTTATTGCATAGTTCCTGTATGTATATGTTTTAACATTATTATATTTACAGATTACGAAAGAACTTAAAGGCCTTGTTAATGGTACATCCCACATTGTGGCTTAAAACAGTTGTTATGATGACCAAACCTTTTATTAGGTAAAATAGAAATTTATTTATTTTACGTTTTCGGCAGTATTAGCAAAACAGTATTTTGATATAACACTACAGCATGTATTTTTCTCTCGTATGTAATTGCAAGAATGCAATTATATGGTATTGGACGATCATATTGGATAATCAAGAACTATTTTATTGAATTTTCAAATGCTTGTTGGAATACAAGAAAGAAATGTATCTTGTTAAAGTAAATTTCTTTTCCCTCCAAAATTTATTTTCCCACCATTTTGGGGACTAAAAACTTTGTTTTTCATGAAGATGAAACTCAGATCAATAAGTAAATGAAAAAGAGTATAATACTATGTAGGACGGGTTTCTGATTAACATGCTAATAACTTCTTGTTTTTCAGTTCCAAATTTAGTTCAAAGTTACGTTTTGTAAAGACGTTACAAGAATTAGGGAAGATAGTACCTATGGAGTATATCTACGTTCCCGAGCCCGTCTCGCAGTAAGTAGCCAAGCATTATATCGTATTCCTTGATGCTTTGACCTCCAACTATATACTGTTTATTCAACAATATAACTTCATATTCAAACAGCACAAATTTCGTTTTTCATGATATACCATGCATACTCTAATGAACGCTCAACAGGGATGTTACATTTTTCAAAGGGATGGGTTTTATAAAATGTTAAATTTCATCAAAATAAAAAGAATGTTAACTGTTTTTGTACTATTTGCTGCTGGATAGTATTTACTGTCTGGAAGTTTGTGGTTCTTTCAATAAAATGCTATCATCTTGGTAACTAGTCAAAATATTTTGACATGCCAAAACCAGATTCTGGGATATTTTTGCTCTGGATTAGAATTTTTCGTAGATCGGAGAAGATATTGCCCATACACAAAATATCAGAATATCTCAATGCGTAGTACAGTAAGTTAGACTACTTAGTTACTCATTTTGCTTTTTGTTAGTCAAAAGGGGCGAAGGATGGGAGGGGCATTAATTAGAGAATGAATCGTAAGCAAGAAAGTAAAATCATTTATTCCTAGATATAACTTCATAAGCACTGTCAGCATCAATTGTAGGATTGGAGCGTGTGTCTATAAGTTTATAGCTTCCTAAACAATTGAACCACCAGTATAATAAGTTCTATATAAATCTGTACAAGTTTTGTAAGGTACTCAAAAATTATTATAATTTATATGGTTAACCATGAGTAAAAATACATATATTTAATACATAAAATTATGCAGAGGTTTGAAAAGTGTTATTTGTAAATTTCTTAATTTTGAACCTCATTACATCAAAAAAAATTAAGTTAATTCTCTAAATTTCAAAGCAGAAGGTACTCTTTTACACAAAACCAATGGCAAAAAGAGGATGAAACTCTTAAAGGACAAGTTTTTACCAAGCCTTTCATTTTTTGTCAGAGCCAGACATTTTTATGTCATTATTCCATGATTTGAGAACCTCTAATTGCATTAATAATTGTTCATTATGCTATGAATATATCACAATCAATCAACTGTGGTCGTATATGTGATGTTTGTAGGAATATTGAGGAAGAATTATTATGTCTAGACAATAGTGCAATAACGGGTTAACTCCTATTGAATTTAGAAGGACTTAACCTGTTACTGCACTAAGGTGAGGTGACAAAATATTCTGCATTATGTCTAGATGTTTAAAGTTTTTCAGACATGTTACTATTAAAGTAGATTTTTTAGACGATTGATACTTTGGATTTTTTCCAAGTCATGTAGGCTGTGTAAGTAAAAATTGTTAAGTTGTATGGCCCGAGAATAATATCACAATTGCTTATTTTCCTTACAGCAGCCATGTATTATAACTCATATAATATTCAATTATCAATTCTAACACAACTCGTATTTTACCCTATTGAACATAGAAGAACTAAAGTGTGTGTCATTATGTAATAAAATCACTGTTTGACGTTCTGTATTTAGACATGTGACGTATTCATTATACACGTGACATATACACTAAAAAATGTGATGCACTGAAAATAACTACGGAAATAAATCAGGAGCAATTTAGCTCAATATCAAGTACAGCAGCATTTATTTGATGATGTTGTGTTAGAATCGAAATAATATATCCAAGTCTATGATTTCATCACTTGATAATATCACTGTTTGTCGTTCGAATGCACATCATTATATCACTCGGGCTACACCCTCGTGATATAATTCTTCACATCCAAACTCCAAACAGTGATTTAACTGAGCGATAAATTCACAATTTGGGTATATTATATTAAGAATAACCATAACATTATGAATAACCAATGAAAATGAAAGTTACAAACATGCAGTTTTATAAATATGAAATATAACCATATATAACCGTTAATGTATTATTACAGGTATGATGCAAAATTGACACAACATAGACCCTGCACCTCCGTTCCCTCTACCCCTTCCTCCCCCTCGTGACATTTCCCGACGTGTAGATATACGCTAGTCACTGTCTGTGATATATATAATACTTGGTAAGTATACTCGGATGTTGTCGTAAAGGTGTGCCGGGTACCAGCAGATGATTGCCAGGTACCAGCAGAATGTTTGAATTTTGTTTTGCCAGGTACCAGCATATTGTTAGTCTTTTGTTTTGCCAGGTACCAGTAGCTGGTTTGTCTTTTGTTTTGTCAAGTACCAGCATATTGTTTGTCTTTTGTTTTGCCAGGTATTTGCAGAATGGTTCATTATTTTTGTTGTGCTTGATAATATATTTGATTTTTTGTGCCTGTTACCAGCAGAATGGTCCCGCATGCTGATACCTCTGCCAGGTGTTTCATACTAATTTCCCTGTGCCTGGTACCAGCAAAATGGTTCCTGAACGATGATATCTGGTAGCATAATGTTTCCTAGTTTTATTACTTCATACCAGCATTATTATGTACCTCGTTGACAGTTCTCCCATTTATTTTTGCATAATTTTGACACCCTTGATATATTTATGCTGACTTGGCTTTATACTTGTGGCATAGGCAAGTAGTTTTCCAGTATTAACATTATAGGGCATCCCTCATAACCTGAGGAATCTCGGAAAATGGACTTGTCCAGCTTCCTTAACTGGAAATCTCCCATTATCTATTTTAGGGATATAAAGAAAAACAGCTAACATTGTATTGCCTTGGCAGAATGCAGGGAATATGCAGGCTGGCTGGTTCTATACTGGTGGCTAAGGCTAATCACTCAAGAAAAACTTTTGTAAAATTTTCTTCTTAATGGATTTTAATCACTCAAGGCTCCAGTAAAAAACACAACATAGAAAAGAAAACTTTTTTAAAAAAATTTCCTATTACTGGAATATTTCCACAAGAAAATTGCCTTGTCTCTATTTTCCTGTGTTTCTAAAGCTATTCACTGATATAAATTTCCTGAAGAAAGCAGATTTTCACATGTAATAAGGTTTATAAACTGAAGAGTCCTACCACACACACAGGGGAATACCTGTACTGCAACATGGTTTTTATGTTGTTTTCTGTTGTTTTTTGCATGCAAGGAATGATGTATCTATGTTTTATCATTTCCCTGAGATTTTTTTACACTTTCTTTGATGTCTAGTGAGAGAAAAGTTTCTTATATTATGCAATGTACATAGGGTTTTATTTCCAATACATATCTATAATTTAAAGAAATCTATTGATATACATGAAAAATGTTTGAACATTGGAGGTTTTATACCTTATACAATTTCTTTGATGTCTTTAGTTTAAAGAAATCTATTTCATTTTGTTTTATCTTAAGAAATCCATGGAAATGAATGAAATTATAGAGCCTGGTCAGACTGCACACTTTTTTTAACTTTTATGTCTGTATGGGGGGGGGGTTCATTGTGGCCAATTGATTAAGGGGGCAGAAATCAGAATCATTTGCCCATTTCCGCTATTGCGTTGAATCCTGACTAGATTTTAAGTGACATTTTCATATTCCAGTAAAGCTGGCAAGTTGCCATACATCTCCGATTTACATGACTGTTTTCATTACAGAAATTATCGTTTACATGACTGTTTTCAGTGCAGAAATTATCGTTTACATGACTGTTTTCAGTACAGAAATTATCGTTTACATGACTGTTTTCAGTACAGAAATTATCATTTACATGCCTGTTTTCAGTACAGAAATTATCATTTAGATGACTGTTTCCAATACAGAAATTTTCAGTACAGAAATTATCATTAACATGACTGTTTTCAGTACAGAAATTATCGTTTACATGACTGTTTTCAGTACAGAAATTATCGTTTACATGACTGTTTTCAGTACAGAAATTATCATTTTACATGACTGTTTTCAGTACAGAAATTATCATTTACATGCCTGTTTTCAGTACAGAAATTATCATTAAGATGACTATTTCCAATACAGAAATTTTCAGTACAGAAATTAACATTAACAAGACTGTTTTCAGTACAGAAATTTTCATTTTACATGACTGTTTTCAGTACAGAAATTATCATTTTACACAACTGTTTTCAGTACAGAAATTATTATTTACATGACTGTTTCCAATACAGAAATTTTCAGTTCAGAAATTATCATTTTACACAACTGTTTTCAGTACAGAAATTATCATTTACATGACTGTTTTCATGTTTTCAGTACAGAAATTATGCTTCAAGCTGACCCGGACTACCTGGAGAAGTGGGAAAAAGAACAAGAAAAGAAAGGCCTCACACCAACCAAACAGTCCAAATTTAGTTTCTTCAGAAGGAAAAAGAATAGTTCATCCTCGTCATGAAGTTTGACTCACTCCACGGCAATAGATTACTTTATCTGTTATTGGTTTAGTTTCTTTTTGGTTGATTGTTGATTAATTAAGCATTATTTTGTTCAAATAGTTTGATTTGTCGTTGCCAAGGGCTAGAAATAATACATATTGATTAAGCTCGCACTATTGCAAGTAATAGTGATTAAAAAAGCAGGAAGCATTTCCTTAGATTTGTAAATTTTTGAAATAGAGAACAAAGATAATGTATAATTGAAAATAAATAATTATAGAATAGAATAGAAAAAAGATAAGATGATTATGTACAATATATTCTTCATGCTTAAAATTTGAAAAAGTTCATTCCAAAAGTTGAAAAAGAAAACAATAGTTCAAAATTGAAGAAAAAAATGTTCAAATTTGAAAAAATAAGTTCAAAAATTGAAAAAAAAATTCTGTACAAATTTGAAATTTGTACAAAAGTTGAGTTTCATGAATAAAGAACTACTGTGGCATGTACCATGGAAACGTAAACAATTCAATTTGTACTATATTTTGTAATAACAAGTACCTGCTACTTTCCATCAATGTATCAGTCTTTCCTTTGGGAGTCTATATATTTAAATTTGCAGGTACAGAAAATAAAAGATATGCCCAGGAACTTCCCCTAGAAATGCACCAGTAGGATTTTTAATTATGCAAGAAGTACAACATTTGTTGTAAGCAGAAATCTGTTAACCACCGCAAAAACATTTTGTTGGCTTAGTGCAGTAATGTTTTAACTCCTTCTATAATTTAATAGGAGTTAACCCGTTACTGCACTAAGGTGACAAAAAATTTAGTTATCTGTTCTAGTGAGCTACATGTATGTGAATCTATTTTATTATTTTTGTGGGTACTAATTTTTTCATGGGTTTTGTAAAATTTCCATGAAAATGAATTTTCACATTAAATCCAATTCAGTAATCTGAAAAAGAAAATGTTTTTGTTCTAGTGAATTATTTATTGTGGATATCACATAAAACTTGTTGTAGTGACATTTATAGAGAAATTGTGACATTTATTAATTATTTAATTGATTCATTTTGAGTGGGAAAGTATAAACATGAAATGTTATAGTGTGTGACATTTACTTTTATCAATTATTAAAAAAAAACATAAAAGCTTCTTATTAACATGATTATCATTTTTACTTGAAAGCTTTCAATGAACATGATCATCATGTGTATCCTTAAGCATTTTTTAAAGACCTTGATCATTAGATCATGGTAGCTTGAAAGCTTTCATTGAACATGATTATCAAAATAACTAAAGCATTCAATGATCATGATTGTCATGATTATCTGCAAGCATTCAATGATCATGATCATCATAATAATTTTAAAGCTTTCAATGATCATGATTGTCATGTTTATCTGACAGCGTTCAAATGTGAACATAATCATCTTGTTTTCCCAAAAGCTTTCAGTCAGCATGATCATCATGTAACATTCATAATTCTACAGTTTTATAGTTGTCTATTTATGTTGAATCATTGAAATTGAATTGTTGAAACATCTGGGCAGAAAGACTGTCAATTTTTTGTGATCTTTTAATATTTGACTTGTTTAGATTATACCTTAAACTGCCTTTTTCAGATATGTTCAATACATAAGATTGCTTGTTTTAGATGTAATATAGCCCATTACGTATTTCTATACAGTACGAGTGATACTATTTTAGATAATTTTATGTTAAATATTTCATGATATTTGGATATTTAAGTTATGGATTGTATAAATGGATTGTGTGTCTATATTTTTACCATTTTTACTTGCATAAAATCAAGTTTTTGTTTCATTCATTTATAAGATACATACTTTACACATTGTGTTATAAGTGGTTGCTATTTTAATGAATCGTGTGGATCATTAAAAAACAACAGAATAAAACTATGAGAGTTAAAGCAGATTTAAGTGTTAAAATTTAGACCCCCGACTTATGAGTGGTCTGTCTTAAAGGCGAGTAAATACAACATGATATTTATGTGTGAAGTATATAAGGACGTTTTTGCTTGAGGACATTTATTTGGGTATTTCTTTTGTTCAGAAATACCTGATGAGGCTATTAACTCTTAGCCTGCTAGCGGTAACTGTTTACACTTGTGTAACCAGTGCAGCCCAAGGCATGGTCAGCTGGCACACCAGTGCTGCCTGAACTTGAACTTGGTCTGCACTGATTGCATGGGTACATTCAGTCACTACCTGGGGGTTAAGAGTTTAAACTGTTTGTTTTTAGATTACTTATATTAAAATTATGTGTATATTGTAATCTATGTAAAAATATATGACAAATGAATTTGTTATGTATATGTCTCAACTGTTATAAATGTGTAAAATTGTATAGAAAATATTAGAAAATGTACATGGAAAAGGATGTACATTTTGAAAGTTGACTGTAAATAAATGTATATTCATGAATTTATAAATTGTATATGTTTAGCTGCAATCTGGTCCATCTACCTGTAATTAAAATGTAATTCCTTTCTGTAATTAAAATGTAATTCCTTTCTGTAATTAAAATGTAATTCCTTTCTGTAATTTGAAAATTGTAATTTACCCACACTCCCCCTCATTATTAAAGCAGCATGCCTCCAGATTCATGCTGAATTTCATGAAAATATTGAAAATGTGTTAAAAAGTTCAATATTATCAAATGAAAATAAAAAGTAAAATATACATTGCAAAAGTCTCAGAAAATCTATGAAAATCAAGCAGTAGAAATATGGTAATAAAGACTGCAAAATTAGTCATATGTTGCATATAACATTTTTCTCAAGGTTAATTTTCCTAAAATATTTTGGAGGCATGCAGCTTTAAAATTCTTGTATTGAATCACAGTTTTAGAGTTTTTAACATTTTATAATTAATGTGATTTTTAGCTCGACTTTTTTTTTTGAAAAAAAAATAGAGGTATTGCTACAGTCAGGTTGCCGTTGCCGTTGCCGTTGCCGTTGCCGTCCGAAAACTTGTACCTGGATCATAACTTTTTTATTTCTTTGTGTATTGTCTTCATACTTGGCCACAACAACCCTTGGGACAAGACCTTTCAGTAGACCACACTAACCTTGACCTTCATCCATAAATGACCTTGACCTTCAAGGTTAAAAGTCCAATTTTTGTTGTTCATGCTGTTTATTGGCTGTAACTTTGTTAGTTTTGAATGGATTGTCTTCAAACTTGAACATAATAATCTTTAAGGATATCCCTTAAAAATAACCAGCCAGACCTTGACCTTCACTCATAAATGACCTTGACTTTGAAGGTCAAATTATTGAAATTTTCATTTTTTTGGCTTTTATTGGCTGTAAGTTTGTTATTTTTGAATGGATTGTCCTGAAACTTGAACATAATAATCTTCAAAGATTACTGTTAAAGATATACCGGAAGACCTTGACCTTCACACATTAATGACATTGTCTTTGAAGGTCAAATTATTGAAATTTTCATTGTTTTGGCGGTCACTGACTGTAACTTTGCTATTATTGAAGGGATCAACTTCATATTATTAGAGAACATTCTTAAGGACCAGACCTTGTTGTTTATCAAACCCAACTTTGCTTGGGCTCTTAAATGACCTTGACCTTGAAGGTTAAATTACTGAATTTTCTCAGATTTGTGCAGTAAATGACCATATTTAAATATTTATTGGTGTGTGTGTGTCTATATATATATATTTACAACAACAACAACAATAACTAAAATTGTGTCATTGTTTCTATTTATAGAATTGCGTCATTGTTTCTATTTATAGAATTGCGTCATTGTTTCTATTTAGAGAAATTGGGTCATTGTTTTTTTGGGTTTTTTTTATAGAAATGCGTCATTGTTTCTATTTTTAGAGATTGCATCATTTTTTTCTATTTTTAGAAATTGCATCATAATTTCTATTTTTAGAAATTGCATCATTTTTTTCTATTTTTAGATATTGCGTCATAATTTCTATTTTTAGTATTTTTAGACATTGCATCATTTTTTCTATTTTTAGAAATTGTGTCATAATTTCTATTTTTTAGAAATTGCGTCATAATTTCTATTTTTAGAAATTGCGTCATTGGTGCTATTTTTAGAATATTGCGTCATTTTTTCTATTTTTAGAAATTGCGTCATAATTTCTATTTTTAGTATTGTTAGAGATTGCATCATTTTTTCTATTTTTAGAAATTGCGTCATAATTTCTATTTTTAGAAATTGCATCATTGGTGCTATTTTTAGAAACTGTGTCATAATTTCTATTTTTATAAATTGCGTCGTAATTTCTATTTTTAGAAATTGCGTCATTGGTGCTATTTTTAGATATTGCGTCATTTTTTTCTATTTTTAGAAATTGCGTCATAATTTCTATTTTTAGTATTTTTAGAGATTGCATCATTTTTGCTATTTTTAGAAATTGCGTCATAATTTCTGTTTTTTTCGAAATTGCATCATTGGTGCTATTTTTAGAATTTGCGTCATTGTTGCTATTTTTAGAAAATGCGTCATTGTTTTCTAATTTTAGAGATCGTGTCATTTTTTCTATTTTTAGAAATTGCGTCATAATTTCTATTTTTAGAAAATTGCGTCATAATTTCTATTTTTAGAAATTGCGTCATTTTTTCTATTTTTAGAAATTGCGTCATTTTTTCTATTTTTAGAAATTGCGTCATAATTTCTATTTTTAGAAATTGCGTCATGGTGCTATTTTTAGAAATTGCGTCATTTTTTCTATTTTTAGAAATTGCGTCATAATTTCTAATTTTTTAGAAATTGCGTCATTGGTGCTATTTTTAGAAATTGCGTCATTTTTTCTATTTTTAGAAATTGCGTCATAATTTCTATTTTTAAGAAATTGCGTCATTGGTGCTATTTTTAGAAATTGCGTCATTGGTGCTATTTTTAGAAATTGCGTCATAATTTCTATTTTTAGAAATTGCGTCATTGGTGCTATTTTTAGAAATTGCGTCATTTTTTCTATTTTTAGAAATTGCGTCATAATTTCTATTTTTAGAAATTGCGTCATTGGTGCTATTTTTAGAAATTGCGTCATTTTTTCTATTTTTAGAAATTGCGTCATAATTTCTATTTTTTAGAAATTGCGTCATTTTTTCTATTTTTAGAAATTGCGTCATTGGTGCTATTTTTAGA